TCACCAGGGGAGTCATCTCACAACCTTCTGCAATTAATAATCAAATTTTTAATTTCAAATTTGCTTTTTCCTTCAAGCAACTTTAGAGTTTCGAAAGAATTGTCTTCTATTTGCGAGAATGTAGATATTTTTGCAGCGTACAACTGGCCAGCTACATTATGTGGATTTCTGCAGACGCAACTTAATGTTTGCGTAACTAAAATTAAAAAGGATCAGCCTGTGGGTTACATCAATGGTTTTGTATTTCTTCTATCGGTTTGTGTTCCACCAATACATTTTGAAATCTCAGCTGCAATTGTCAATTTTAAAATAACTCGTAATGTTTAATGCAGATATGGTTTTATGAGCACACTTCCATGGTCATCCCAGCATTGCCTCAAGCTAGACCAAGAATGTTGAGGTGGTCAAATGTGAGGTGGAGTACTCTGAAGATTCAAGTAGCCTTTAAAAGGCTTAAATCTGCCGAGGTCAGCAATTTAGTTCTGTATTCCATAGAATTTGTTTTTTTCACGTGATTCTTTCATTGCTTTTGACTCTATGTAATGTCTTGCAGGTTTTTTATAACTTTCTTGACATTTTAGATAGCGAGCATCATCTCCTTGGTTCTCCATTACAAGAACCATCTAGTCCTGAGCAACATCCCCCAGAAAAGGACGTTATATCCCAACCACAGTCGTCCGCATTCATTGGTACTGCTGAGCCTATATTTTCTTATCGTACCAGTCCTCCACCACATGACGAGAGGCATCAATATAGTACCTCTAGTAGTGGATTTGAAGAAATCCATGAATTACTGAAAGAGCATCATAAACTGTTCATGGAATTTCAAATCTCAGTGCTCAATCGGCTGACAGAGCTAGAAAGTACAATGAAAGACTTAAAATCAGAAGTTAAAGACATAAATAAAGCTCTAAAATCACCCGTTGGGACATTACCAACTAAATGGGTGCAACAGTCCCCGCTAGGGAGCCTAATTCATAGAATTAAGGCAAGAAAGGGGAGAAGAAAGAGGACTCTCAGTTCCCCATTTTTGTTATTTGAACGGAAGAAGAAGCAAAAAACAAGTCAGGAAGTCGCTGAAAAGCATGAAGAGGTTCAACACTTGCACCTAAGCATTATACTTAATAGTTCTTCCTTACTAACTTAACTAACAATATTTCTTATTTAACAGATTGATATTGTGCATACAGGTGAAGTAAATAAATTTGATCAAAAAGTCATAACTGTGTATAGTAAGGCTACTAAAGAAGCTCTGCAAACAACATCAGTAGATAAACACACCGATCAAGAACATTATGATATGCATTATGTTGACGAAGACTACCCTGATAAGGTTTATAACACAGAATTTAATTGTCCAAATTAAATGCTTCAATATTTCCATCTTATAATGTTTGTGTATTGTTTGTAGGTATGTCCAACCCCACTAACGATTGATTTTCCTGCCAGATATCAAATTCCAGATTATATGAGGGAAGCAATCGATATTTGTTGTAATAAATTCACTGACATGTAAGTAAAAAATTTTATTAATTGATTATCTTTTACTCTTGTACTTATTAAATATTTGGAATGCAGGAGTGACTTAATAATTGACATGGGACATATATCGTTAACCCGATGTTATCTTGATGAATTACTCAGCAACGGGTGGTTAGGAAACGAACATGTCGACTGTTTCGCTATGTTACTGGAGCATAAGAGGAGCAAGAATCCAGAACTATACCGATCTTACCTATATGTATCTCCATGCCGCTGGGTAAATTTTGAAATTCAAGTGTCGTAAACATATAACCAAATATCTCTTTAGTCAATAATTTAATCAATAATTGTTTTATGTCATATATATCGTTCTCTGCAGCTGTACAAGGTCGGGAACATAAAAGGCTTCGTGGAACACATTACGAATGAGACCACTAAGTGGGTGACTCAAGGATGTGGTCTCAACTGTTGGCAATCAAGCATCAAGCTAAAGGGGCTATTATTTGGGAACTTGGGGAGGGCCATATCAATTTCTAGCTTGATCAGTGGATCTGTAATGGGGATAAAATCGTTTATACTACTACTAACACCAATTGTAGAAGTCAGGTACAAGTGGAACTACAGAATGCAAAGCAACACTTTTTCTCCTGTGAAGAAGGATATAAGTAGAACATTTTTTTATAAAGTCATTTTATAAATACAACAGAATGCATTTATAGTTTATAATGTTTTTTTCTTGTCGTTTATGCTGTTGTTTCATAGCAGGACCTGCTTGATTGGCTGCATGCTTACTGTGCTTGATTAACGAATCCATCCGAGCTGAATCAGATTTTGGTTCCAATCTGAAGGAGATATAAGTTTTATGGTTGCAGATTTTGGTTCCAATCTGAAGGAGATATAAGTTTTTCTTGTCATTTATTTTGCAGTTTTATCTCTAATTTCTCACAAAGAAGTTATGATTGTAAGAGATGCTTAAGTAAATGTTGGATTCCTTCAATAATGGTTGACATTTGTGGTGTCCATTTGAAGTAAAAATTGAGGTTTACGGTTGCAGTTTTAGCATTGATTTTGTGTGTATTTCCTTATGATTTCTCTCTAATTTCTCACAAAGAAGTTATGATTGTAAGAAGAAGTTTTAGCTTTGGTATCCAATTGAAGTAAAAATTGATTTTTGGTACCCATTGTGGTTGTTGAAATTCATTGTCCAAAACCTTAAAGTTGGTGGCTAAAACAACAGCACTTCAATAACGGCTGCTGTAGTCGTATTTTCAACATTGTGGTTTAAACTGATTCCTATTCATATTAACTGCTAGATAACGGCTGCTGTATATACTCCCCTGAGAAAGCGAAAACATTTTCTTAAAAGTAATAAAACTAATCGTTTTTTTGGTGTTGGATGATTGAAGATTGAATTTTTTATAAAGATATGCACAAGATTTTCAAAAAAAGTAAAATCATATGTTTAAACTAATCAAACTAATCGTTTTTTTGGTGTTGGATATGTAAAGATTGAATTCCACCAGCATGGATTTCTAAAACATACGTTCCAGAGTATGATAGGAACAGCCCAGGGAATCAGCAGCGAGAAGCAATCAAAGCAGATACATTAAAATTCCCAAAATAATGAATAAACTTTTTCATTTTTTGTAGCGAACCAACGCAATAATGAAACATATAATTATGAGCTGCATAAATTTTCTTTATCCATAATGCTTAAACTTGTTTGAAATAAGATATTAAATCATAAATTAATAAATTTTTTGCAATAAATTATACAGTTATTAAAACAGGGACCAGCTACATCAATTTTAAAACAAGAGCTGGACACTTTTGCTTTGTGTTGACTCATCAGCTCCATGTTGCGGAAGACAGCGGATCTGCTGTTCTGGCTCATGTGTTGAATCTCAGACTCATAGCCTTCCAAAAGGACCTGTAGTAATTCATCAACCAAACTCTTACATGAGGAGGATAATTATAGCTTTTACAAATAATTTAAATTGTGACGTAGTATAGTAAATGTAGGAATACTCCATGAAGGGCAGACCTAATCCACCAACATGTGTTGGAATAGTAAATGTTGCTTTCCGGGTGAACAATCATTAATTTAAGGCTCCAAAGTATTGCTGAATTTAAAAAAAAAACAATTGTATTTCAGCATTTTTTTTATCTTATCACTTAAAATCCTAAGCACATATAAGATACAACGTACTTATTAATTTAAAATATTACATGTATGACCACTGAGGCATTGGTTTCTCATTGAGGCATTCTGTCATCATTGCAGTGTGGGATTCCCTACTCCGTGGAGGAAATGAATTCTGCATGTGTGTATCGATGTATTATTGAATCATGAAATCATCGTATTATAACATAAACAATTCTGAAAATTTATACCTGTGTTAGAAAATTGGGTAATGAACATACGGGTGGATGACATTGTGATGATTCAGGTTCTTCGGTTGTTGAAACAATTTTTTGCTTGCCTAAATATATACATATGGAATGGTAAAGGGTGATATGACATGGAGTGGTACAGCATATAAAAGGGGTGAAGTTGTTGAACCATACCTTTTGATTTTTTATTTTTCTCCCAATACCCTTTCAGTCTGACATTAGATATTCCTTTAGGGCGCATTTTAGCTGGATCATTCATATTCGATTCATTATTGACTGGTGCTTTATTTTTCCTTTGTTGTCTTCCTGATTGAGTACCCTTACCAATCAAAATGTCATCAATGTCCAATGATAATTTCTTCATGGATTCCTTCATGCGCTGCTCAGCTTCCGAATTCCCCTTTGCTTTCCGGGTACATTGATATGCAACTTTCTGCATGTGTGCTTCGAATAGTAGGTCGCCTTGAATATTATTTTAGGCCTGTGACTGCTGCAGATGCATGTATCTGGAACTGTTATAAACATCCCTCTTTGCATTTTCTGACCATCTCAGTAGTAGATATTTATCTGGTATTTTCTTAATGTGTAAAAAATTTAGTACTCGTAGAGAGTGTGCACACAGTAGCCCCATCATTTCGAATTTTCTGCAGCTACACTGAATATTCATGCTCAATCTGTCAAAATGAACTGCCCAAATACTGTTTGTCTTATGATCATCCAAACTCTTGATGAAAAATTCAGTTTCATCTTCTATGGAGGCATGCAATTGAAAACCACATGATCCATGAATAAACTCTTCTTCGAACATTGCATACAGCTTCCTGAAGTAAAATGCAGCTGCTTGCCTCAGTATTGGACTACTCTTCGTAATAGGAGTTCTGATAGATTGATCACATTTGAAATCTTCATCCTTCTCGTTGCGTCTCCATGTTCTCATTACATTTTCAATACCCAAAAAACAATCTGTAAGAGAACTTGTGGGCTTTGAGACACCATGACAAATGTTATTGGTGGATTCACTCCTTTGTGTGGATAAAATTCCCATCCCAAAAACATCTTTATTAAAAGCAGTGGACCACTTGTGTCTAATCTTGTACAAGTCATTTAGCCACCCATTGTCATGTAGATTT